TATGTTTTTAGATGCTTTTATTGTTCCTATTAACATATAGTACCATATAGTTTATGAAAAAATTACAGTAAAGAATAGTTGTATGTCTCAGTCTTTAAGGATTACTGAGTAGTGAGATTTGGCATATCCAAGCACGTGTTTTTAACCTTGCCAATACATTAGAAAATTTAGAAATCATATGCATTAGATGTTTCTGCACATTGTATCCGACACCTACATGCTCGATTCCATGTAACATGGATCTGGAGTTAATGTCTTTCTTCGAGTTGCTTTGTTGTTGAGTTCGTAATAGTACGATAGCTGTAGCTTATCCAACGTACTTGTAGAATATAATTCTCAAAACTTGATGTCTCTTCCAATTTATTTTGGCAGTAGGCATGTGCTACTTTTTCTTATCAACCTTATCTTTCTATTCAAGTTTAGCCTTTTTTCGTTTTATTTTGCTTTAAATTTTTCCAATTTACTCGTGCAATTCGAATTTTTGGAGCACAGTGTAAATTTATCTGCTTGTGTCGAGTGGAGTGCCACAATCCCATTCATCATTTTTGATCTACCATAAGCCAAATCATAGCACTGGCCACGTCTCCAGCATATATGCAAGGAGGATGTATAGCCAAAGTTTAAAAAGGCGAAACTAAGTACCGAGACGGTTTTTCTTTATGAGGCGAGGCTTATGCCTCGAGGCGGATTGAGGCGTAAGCCTCACAAAAAACAAAAAATCTAAGTAAAAGAATTATAAAATAATACAAAAATACAAAAAAAAAAGTTGGAGCATATAGTAAATATGATATATAGCCATTAGTATATTGAGATATAGTCCACCTAAAGAAAGATGTTTAGCAGAAAAAAGCATTACAGATGTAATACCCAGACCAGAAAAGCTTAAAATATTTGATAGGTACTACTCATACCAACAAGTTGCACCTTCTTTTTCGGAAGTCAATCGTTAGAAACTCTACAGTTAAGCGTGCTTGACTTAGAGCAATTTTATGATGGGAGATTTCCTGGGAAGTTTTCTTGGGGAGCGTGCGAGTGAGGATAAAGCATGTTGAAAAGACCCATGTTGGTACAGTGGGGATAGTACGTCGTCGATCTAACGGTCGGGACAGCCCGTTAAGTGGGCCCGGGTCATTACAAATGGTATCAGAGTTCGGTTGCCAGCCGGAAATTGGGAACTAAGTGCTATGCGGGACAAAGTGCTACGCCATAGGGTGGGAGCCACCTATTGAACCCGTAGGAGCCACCTCTAGAATCCCAACGTCTGGTAACGGATCCTCAAATGGATCAAGCGTGATGAGGACGTCGCGAGTCTAACGGGGGGTAATTGTAATACCCAGACCAGGAAAGTTTAAAATATTTAATAGGTACTACTCATAGCAACAAGGTGTACCTTCTTTTTCGGAAGTCCATCGTTAGAAACTCTAGAGTTAAGCGTGCTTGGTTTGGAGCAATTCTATGATGGGTGACCCCCTGTGAAGTTTTCTTGGGGAGCGTGCGAGTGAGGATAAAGCATGCTGAAAAGACCCATGTTGGTACAGTGGGGATAGTACGTCGTCGATCTAACGGCCGAGACAGCCCGTTAGGTGGGACCCGGGTCGTTACAACAGAAGTTAGAAATCACTCCATTTGCAATGAAAAAAGAAGCAGCTTAAACTAAAAAAAAGCCTAATAGTCTGCACTATTATCACTATTAGTAGCATCATTAATGGAATCATCATCATATCTAATTTCCCCATCAACTTCCTCTTCGCTACTCTCAATTTTTGAGTTTTGAATTTTTGTTGAATCTGTTCCTTTTTGGTTCTCTAATTTCTGACTGCCGTTTAGTTTTTTAGGTATTTTATTGTTTTGTTTGGACCCAAAATGCCTTTTTAAATGGACCCTTTTCCTTTTTAAAAAAGGCTCTTTTTGATTTCTTTTCATACAATTGAAAAATCAAATTTTAAATGAGACGCACGCCTTAGCCTAAAAAATATCGCCTCGAGGCATACTACATGCGCTTCACAGTTGAGGCGCGCATCACTACTGCTTTTTTAAACCATGTGTATAGCTGATATAGTATCTTGTGAAATAGGATTTTATCGGCTCTATGTATAAAGTTGATATAATATTTTTTAGATAATCTCTATCCAGTCCTTTTTTTGAGGTTTGAAATTCTTTTTAATAAAGGTGGCTCCTGACATGCAAGAAGTGGGATTGTAGCCTTTTAGGCCATCGAGGGACCTTGGAAGCTTGTCATTTAAAATTGTTCATGTCAAAGTCACAATGGATGTGGAAATTCTTTAATTTCTAATGTTGTCATTATTATTATTATTTTTTCAATTAAAGGTTGTAATAATTTTTTTCTGTAATTGAGCCATGTTTGTTTTCCATCTGGTTTATCCTTTCTTTTCTCCTTCATCAATTACATATGTGTCGATAGGGAACTTCGTCGCTGTTGGCGCAATGGATCCGGCTATTGAAATATGGGACCTTGATATTGTATGTTCTTGTTGCCTTCATTTTCATGACTAATTTAAGGGAGATGTATTTTCCTAAATAATTTTCTTGTTTTGAACTCTCAGATGGATGAAGTTCAGCCATCTTTTGTATTGGGTGGCATCGTAGAGAAGAAGAAAAGGGGAAAGAAGGTTTGCTTATAAAGTTTTGCTTAATTATTGCCTTCAAAACAAATATCTGCTGCTATTATTTCGATGTATTGCATTTTTGTTGATCTTTATGTTTGTCACTTGTGAAGTCATCTACTTTATTTATTCCATGAGAATGCTTAGCTGAAGTGAAAAGTAAGTGAAAGTTACTTTAAAGTAAATTTGCATTTCCAAATTCCAAACATGTTAGAATAAGTTACATCTCTCTAGAATTTAAGTAAAAATGTTACTTTTTGGATAATACCTTACCTGAATGTCAAAAATAAGTAACTTATGCTGTATATATTCTATATTGGTCCAATTAAAGGGATTTACTTGCAACTATAGTCAGTGACTTTCTTAAGATATCCCTATCTGAGTGTGATGAAGAAGAACGCTTCACGCCAATAGAAAGGAAAGAACAGATCAATTGGCGAAAGAAGGAAAGAAGCAAACAGAAATAACCGGAATTTATATAGTGAAGGGACGACACCGTTTCATTTTTATATTTTATATTGTAATGGAAGAATACGTTTTTGTTATAGAATCACGCCTTTTACTGTACTTAGCTTAGGGAGGGAAGAAGCGGCAAGTCAGTTTGTATTTTGTAAGAAATTGTACCTCTTCCTTCTTCCCCAATTCTCTGCTATCTTCCTCCTTTCTTTTTTATTGTAATCATGTTTTGTTAATATACTCATAGCTTGGGCTGTTAAATCCCAGCTCGTTATCTTCAATTGCAAGTTGTTTGTGATGATTTTGGTTGGTTTTGGTTGAGATTCAGCTCAACCGTTACAAGTGGTATCAGTGCATTAAAAAATCTGGGTATGGATACTAGGCCCAAGGCAGTAGAGGAACATCTGAAGAAATTAGATAGAGATGTGGAAGATCTAGGAGAAGCTTTTAAAAATGTTGGCGTTAAGGTGGAAATGTCAGTTCAAACCTTGCAGAATCTGTGTAATAAACATGACAGAATGGAGGCAATGATGAGTGAGATGAATTCTAAATATGAATCCATAGTAGCAATGATGGCACAATGGAGCGGGCAATGGGGAGAACCCATGGACAAACATAAGGTAGGATCCTCTGTAAAATCTACAATCGGCGAAGAATTACTCACCAAAAATAGGTATAACATCTGAGAGCAATATGGATAAGGGTGACACGAGGCTGGGGGTGAAGCTACCCAGGATCGATTTTCCTTATTCAATGGAGAGGGTCTCAGGGAGTGGTTTGAGGAAGGCACAAAAATACTTCCATATCCACCAAGTCTTGGATGGATTTAGAGTCAGCATTGCAAAGATGTATCTAAAAGGAAGGGCAGATTTGTGGTTTCATGTGTTCATCGATAGTGACCTTAGGGCTGATTGGAGTTTATTCTGAGGTTTGTAGAAGGTTTGTTGAATCTACAACAAAGGAAATAATAGAAGTCTTTAGCAAACAAACACTTACCTAGCATCAGCACTAAACCAAGCCAAAAAAGTTAAACCCATCCATTACATTTAGACAAAAAGGAGTCTGGGACTCTGTTTTAGGTGTGATGAGAAGTATACCCCAGGATATATATGTAAGAATAGAATGCTTAATTTCATGCCAATTGATGAGAAAGAAATGAAGGTAGAAGGTGAAGGAAAATTAGCAGAAACGTGTAAAGAAGAGGAAGAGGAGATTATGGAGAATAGTATCAATGCTCTTTCTGGAAGTCTGAAATCTAAGACCATTAGGATACTAGGACAAATCAAGAGAAAGTTGTCCATTCTCATTGATAGTGGTAGCACTCACAGTTTCATTGAAGAAGAGGAAGAGGAGATTATGGAGATTAGCATCAATGCTCTTTCTGGAAGTCTGAAATCTAAGACCATTAAGATACTAGGACAAATCAAGAGGAAGGTGTCCATTCTCATTGATAGTGGTAGCACTCACAGTTTCATTGAAGAAGAGGAAGAGGAGATTATGGAGAATAGTATCAATGCTCTTTCTGGAAGTCTGAAATCTAAGACCATTAGGATACTAGGACAAATCAAGAGGAAGGTGTTCATTCTCATTGATAGTGGTAGCACTCACAGTTTCATTGATGAGAAATTAGTGCAGGAGTTTCCCCTCAGGGCCATTGAGGTGAGTACCCGGCTGTAAATTTCAGGGCCCTGTGGAATTAGTCGAGGTGCGCGCAAGCTGGCCCGGACATCCACGGTTATAAAAAAAAAAAATTAGTGCAAGAGTTGAGATACAAAGTAGAAGTTACCCAACCCGTAACGGTAACTGAAGCCAATGGGGATAAATTGTGCAGTAATGCCATTTGTAATTCACTTACCTGGACCATGCAAGGAATGGAATGCCAATTCCAGTTGAGGGTGCTGAAGTTGAGATGGAGTGATATGGTGTTCGGAGTAGATTGGTTAAGCCAGTTTAACCCAATCATAGCAGCATCAAGTTTTGTTATGAGGGAATGGAAGTTGAACTGAAGAGTGAGTTGGGAAATGATTAAATTCTGATGATAGAAAGGGAACAGATGGACTAGAGGGTCCAAAGACAATCCTATGGGATCATGGCTCAAATTCATTCAGTTACAGAAGATGAAAAGGAATCACCTCCTGAGGACATACAGAACACCATTGAACAGTATCTAGATGTATTTGAAGAGCCAAAAGGGATGCCACCACCTAGATTCAATGATCATAAGATTCCACTGAAAGAAGGAGCTCAACCTTTCAAAATGAGACCCTACAGATGCCCACATACACAGAAAACAGAAATAAAGAAGATGGTGAAAGAAATGTTAGAAGTTGGGAACATCCAACCAAGTAATAGCCCATATGCCTCCCCTGTGTTATTGGTTAAAAAGAAGGATGGAACATGGAGGTTCGGTTTGGATTACATGCAACTAAATAGCATCACTATCAAGGATAAATATCCCATGCCTTTAATTGATGAATTACATGGTTCTAGGTGGTTTTCCAAGATTGACCTGAAGGCTGGGTATTATTAGATTAGAGTGGCTGAAAGTGACATACATAAGATAACGTTCAAGACTCACCATGGCTTGTTTGAGTTCAAGGTCATGCCCTTTGGACTCACTAATGATCCAGCCACATTTCAGTGCTTGATGAATGAGGTTTTCAAGGAGTATCTGAGGAAGTTTGTCTTAGGTTTTTTTTATGACATATTGGTCTATAGCTCTGACCTATATCCCGTTGCAAGCACTTAGCCAAAGTAGAAGAGGTATTGCAGTAAGTGTTCATTTGGGCAATCTAGAGTGGAGTACCTGGGTCACATTATCTCATCAACAGGGGTGGCAGTAGACCCTACAAAAATCAGTGCAATGCAACAGTGGCCTACTCCTACTTCTATCAAGCAACTAAGGGGGTTTCTTGGACTGACAGGATACTATAGGAAGTTTGTAAAGGATGTGGAGTTCTTGCAAGGCCTTTGACTGATTTACTGAAGAATGATAATTTCAAATGGGATAAAACTGCAGATAGGGCTTTTCAGATTTTGAAATCAGCAATACGTATCACCCCAGTTCTAGCTTTACCAGATTTTACTCAACCATTCATCATTGAGACTGATGCTTGCAATGGAGGTATAGGTGCTGTCTTAATGCAAAATAGAAGACCAATTGCTTACTTCAATAAAGGAATTAGTAATGATATACTAAGAATGTCCATCTATGAGAAAGAACTTCCAGCATTAGTTATTGCAGTGGGAAAGTGGAGGCATTATCTGGAAGGACATCACCTCATCATCAAAACAAATCATCAATCATTAAAGTACTTGCTTGAGCAAAGGATAACTACACCCATTCAATATAAATGGTTTACTAAACTACCAGGACCGACTCAGCTACGAGATTCAATACAAGAAAAGGGTGGATAATATTGTGGTTGATGCTCTTTCCCGAAGAGAAGAATCATCTATTAAAGTGGCAGCAATTTATAATGTAACACCATCTGGATGCAGGAAGTGATAGACAGCTACCAATATGATGAGATGGTTGCAAATCAGATCAAGGAATTGTTGAATAAACCCAATGAAGACTCTGATTTTTCCTATGGCTTTGGTTTTTTCAATAAAAGTGTAGTTGTAGTATTAGGAAAATAGTTTTGTTGCAAATGAACAAGATATTGAGGAATTTTCCATACGTAAAATCTTAATTATAGATACGGGCATTTTCCACAGAAAAGGAATTGTTGATTAAACCCAATGAAGACTCTGATTTTTCCTATGACAATGGATTACTCAAATTTAAAAGCAAGATATATGTGGGATCCGAGGGTCACATAAGGGTCAAATTGATTCAAAACATCCATTCTTCCCAAAATGGAGGCTACTTTGGTATTCAGGCTAGTGTATTCAGGGCTAAGCAGCATTTCTATTGGTCGGAGATGATTAGAGATATCAAGAGGGAGATACTTCAGTATGGTGTTAATCAAAGATGCAAGGGGAACATGGTCCCTATCTTGGCCTGCTACAACCTCAAATTGAACCACAATACTCATAGAAATCACATATCCATGGATTTTATTTAAGGCATGCCCTCTTCAAACGGGAAAACAGTTATCCTAGTAGTGGCGGATCAGTTCACTAAATAGGGGCACTTCATAGCTTTATCTCATCCCTTCTCTACAATCACAGTAGCTAAAGTCTTCCTTGATGACATCTATAAGCTTCATGGAATGCCTCAAAATATTGTGTCAGACGGGACAAGATTTTCACTAGTAGGTTTTGGCAGGAGCTGTTCATATTGATGGGAACTAAACTGCACCTGAGCTTTGCGTATCAACCACAAACGGATGGGCAAACTGAGAGGCTTAACCAGTGTTTGAGATGTATCTAAGGTGCATGACATTCCACCAACCTAGGAGATGGATTGACTGGTTATCATTGGCCGAATGGTGGTACAATACCAACTACCACACAGCAAGTAAAATGAGTCCTTTTGAAACCATATATGGCATTAAACCACCTCATAATTTGGCACTGGGACCTTATCAGCAAACCAATGTGGCTGCAGTAGAAGAACTAGTGCAAGAGAGGCATCGAATGGACCTTCTTCTAAAGTAACACCTTGCTCAAGCCCAAGCAAGGATGAAATTTTATGTTGACCAGCACAGGATGGAAAGAGTTTGAAGTGGGTGATTGGGTGTATTTGAAGTTACATCCTTACAAGCAAAATTCAATTATGATGAGGACAAATCAAAAGCTAGCTGCCAAATACTATTGACCCAATATTCCATGTATCTTTACTTAAGAAAAAGATAAGAGAATATGAGGTACCTATCTTGTTATTACCGGAGTGCGGAGAACGGAAAATGATCTACCGGGAGCCTATCTAAAAGCAGGTTGGAGAATGATTTTCGATCAGATCAGAGAAGTACCGTACAAACCAGAATGATCAAGAGAAATAATCAAACAAATTCAGTGGAAAGGCTATGACTATGACTATGACTAGGATGAGGCCACTCAGGCAGATGCAGCTACAGTTCACAACAAATTTCCTTTCTTCCAACCTTGGGGACAAGGTCGTTTTGAGGGGGAGGTATATGATGAGGAAGAACGCTTCACGCCAATAGAAAGGAAAGAACACATCAATTGGGGAAAGAAGAAGGAAAGAAGCAAACGGAAATAACCGGAATTTGTATAGTGAAGGGACGACACCGTTTCATTTTTATATTTTATATTGTAATGGAAGAATACATTTTTGTTATAGAATCACGCCTTTTACTGTACTTAGCTTAGGGAGGGAAGAAGCGGCAAGCCAGTTGGTATTTTGTCAGAAATCGTACCTCTTCCTTCCCCAATTCTCTACTATCTCCCTCCTTTCTTTTTTACTGTAATCACGTTTTGTTAATATACACACAGCTTGGGCTGTTAAATCCCAGCTAGTTATCTTAATTGCAAGTTATTTGTGGTGATTTTGGTTGGTTTTGGTTGAGATTCAGCTCAACCATCACGCTGATGTGAAGCAGTTACTTATTAGTTACCTTGCTTGCATTTCTTCTTGCTCTCTTTAGCTCTGTAAAGCTTAATTGCAGTAGACTTTTTCGTTTGGGTTTTCCTTAAGATGTTCAATATCTTTTGTGCTTTATAGTTGACTCATTCTTGACCAGTTCATACTATTACAATGCCATTTGTTGAGAACTTCACCTTAAACTTTGATTATTATGTGGTTTTTATATCCTTTTTTGTGCTAAACCTCTATTAACTTAGTAATTTTATTCTTATTGGCATGCATGTTGGATTGGTTAGAAAATAATCAAATATGCGACTGGTAGCCACACTGATTCAGTTCTTGGACTTGCTTGGAACAAGGAATACAGGTTTAGGAATTCTTTAGATAATTTTATTTGTTTATATAAACATAATGGCCTCCTTAGAAATCTAATGTTCTGTTATTGGTAAATTTATAAATACATGCAGGAATATACTTGCCAGTGGGAGTTCTGACAAATTGGTAAAGATTTGGGATGTGACTACTGGGGAATGCAACCTAACCATGGATCACCATACAGACAAGGCAAGAATTGAAACTTAGCATCATTATATTTTGTTTTGATATGTGATATATTTTTAGCTGGTTACCTGGGCATTTCTGAAGTTTCAGTAGCAGCACCCTTTTACCGGACTTTTAAATGCAGTCCGTGTTTCTGATGCTCATCTCGACTTTTCTTTGTAAACTTGTTTAGAAATGAGGAAAATCCACCGACACAAGTTACGTTGATTCCTATAATTTTCTTTAAAATGTGACATGACAATTAACTATGTTAATGACAAACACTTTCAACATGAGCTTAAGTTAGGCTTTGCGTGGACTTTGGTTTTGAAAACTCAATTGGTAGAAATTTATATTTGGGATGTTGGCTTGGTAGAAAATGTGTCATCTTGTTTTTCGCAATTTACCATATGATACGAGGTGTTTGGTGCCCATCTGGTGCTTACATAGTCAATTGCGTAAAGGTTTGAATTAGATGGTTTAATGTATCTTCACTTTCGGAAAATGCTTATTAACTTTGAATTAAAGTTACAATATTTGGATTTAGGATTCTTTATGGACATGACGTGTATGTTGGACTTACGTTGGATAATTCTAGTCATACAAAAAAGCAGGAAAGAAGATTACTGGATATTTTCTATTTTCTAGTCTAACTGAAAATTATCATTACATCTATAAGATTGGAGAAACACCCAAATTGTTATCTTAGCCACATGCAATATTTGATATATATATCCTATGTAATTAAATTGTTTATATCTCATGGCAAAACTTCATTGCTTCTTCAATATGTTGTGATCCTGCATCATGTCTTCAGGTCCAAGCTGTAGCATGGAATCCTTTTGCACCTCAAGTCCTTCTCACCGGATCTTTTGATCATTCAGTAGTTATGGTACTGAGACAACTTGCGCTAGTCATTCATATGACCTGAGACACTTCTTGATTTCTGTTCAGTTTTAACAACTTATTTAATATATGGACATTGTAGAAAGATAGCAGGATACCCTCTCACAGTGGATTTAAATGGTCAGTCGTTGCTGATGTTGAAAGCTTGGCATGGGATCCGCACACTGAACAATCTTTTGTGGTCTGTATATCACATTTTATCTACAGTTATGTCTTGGTTTACGTTTTTAATGGGCAAAGCCTGTTAAGTCATCTTGGAAGTGTGAGTTTCTGATAATGTATTTGATAAAGGAACCTGAATGAAGTGTTGCCTTTGATTTTTTTTCCCAGGTAAGTCTTGAGAACGGTACGGTTATAGGTTTTGATATTCGCACAGCTAGCTCTGATCCCAAGCCAAGTTTCACTCTCCACGCTCATGACAAAGCAGTTTGCACAGTTTCATACAATAGCTTGGTCCCAAATGTATGATCTCCACTCTTTGTTTTTTCCTTTTACTTTTTAAGCTTTGACTTCCGATTGTTTATGTACCCACTTTGCCCTTGTAGCTACTTGCAACTGGTTCCATGGATAAGACAGTAAGTTCCAGTATTCTCTTTTACTTTAATAAACAATTTAGACTCCTGGTGACTATAATCAGTTTATATCTTTATCTTGAATGGTGTTGTTTATTGTGCAACCTTTTCCATCAACTGCAGGTGAAACTCTGGGATTTAACGAACAACAAGCCTTCGTGCATTGCATCCCAGAATCCAAAAGCTGTAAGTTACCTTTGCCTATTTATTTTTTTGAGAATTTGATGCATAGTTTGTCGACTGAATGTCTTTTTTATGGATGGGTGTCAGGGAGCTGTATTTTCAGTTTCCTTCTCAGAAGATGCTCCCTTCTCACTGGCCATAGGAGGCTCCAAGGGAAAGTTGCAGGTAAGAATTATCTTCCTATAGATGTCTTTATATATATTATTGCCAACGCCTTCTTTCCCTGGTTGTTGAATCACGTCGTCTTTGCTAAAATATTTGCAGATGTGGGATCTGTTATCAGAGACCGGTGTTGCTGGAAGATATGGGAAGTATATCAATGAGCTAAGGCGCCGCCCACAATCCTGATGGATAGGACTCAGTTTCAGGTAGGGGCGAGCTAGAAGTGTTGGCTGGCTGGTTAGGCATTCAACCTGGAAAATCCAATTACAGATACAATGCAAACAAAAATCAAAATATTTAGTTTAGTGAAGATAATCTTCAATATAATAGCACCCTGCCGGGAAGAAGATCGAGTTGTGGCAATTTTCCAATTTTGAGTATGAACCTGCCCACTAAGTTATAAGTAAATGATTAAATACGCCGTGTTCTGGTTTTTACTTGGTGATTGCAGGATTTTGATTCGTGTTAAAGAGACTGGTAGTTCTGATTAATTAAAATTCTGTTTAAACGATATGGACTTTTGTATTACTTTCATGCGTTTTTAGACTTGGTTTTGTTTGAAAGGATACAGGCTCTTTATGTAATGCAAATTGTCCAATTTTTCATTATTTCTGTTGGGGGTTGTCAATGTGTCGGTGCCACAGGTTCTTCATGTAATGCAATTTTGTCCAATTTTTCATTTTTTTCTTCTAGGGGTGGTCAATGTGTCGGTGCCACCCTTTTGCCCGGTTAGTAAAATCTTGACCCAGGCTGGTCATGATCCTATATTTATTCGGCGCTGGACCAAATAAGGCCAGCCGTCCGACGTCAATGGTCCAAACAGGGCATGAGGTGTAGACCCATTTGCCCTATGGATGGGCCTCCGGCTGGAGGGCGTAAAATTGAGTCGGCCAAAAAATTTGACTAGCCTTTTCAATAGCCTGCAACTTCTAGAAAGAATGTTGAAGAATAGACGTTTCCAACCATAACTTAAGTTCTTAAAGCTAGTGAACTCGAAAATTGAGAGTTGATGCTACAAATCTCTCCTATAATCTCATCGAGTGCAAGATCATCTTTTAGTATAGATGTGTGAGAAACCCCAGGGAGCTTGATCACTTTAAGGGTTTGATTTTTCTCATTAGCCCATGCATTTTCTACTGCTAGCAAGCTTACCGTGTTCACTGTACCATCGCCATCCCCGTCCGCCACCTCTGGGCTCTTGTCAAACCCACTATCCCCGTAAAACAATGTTTCCGGTGTATTGACATTGCTCCCAATTATGCACGTAATAGGAACTTCCGGTGCAACCAAGTTTTCAACCAAAGGTAAAATACGCAATTTATAAGGCTGGACTCCTTCTGGAAGCCCGATATCCTTGAGAAACTGTGCGATATCTTTCGCAGAATAAGACGCATTTTGGGTGATCACTAGTGGTTTTGTTGTGTTGAACACTTTAGGAGAGGGTAGAAGCCATAAGTTACTTGAACAACTTCTTTGCTCTTCCCTCACAAGCAATGGATTGACTAAGGGAACTCCGAGTGCATTCCCAGAAGCAAATGTGAGCAGTTCTTCAACCGTACCACCCCACGGCGTCGACAATGCGATGAAGTGTTTGATGTGTTTTTGGCGCCAAGAAACCGGGTTTCGAATGAGTAGTTGGTGGACAAAAAGGCCTCCTAAGCTATGGGAAAGAAGGATTATGGGCTTTCCTCCATTGGAATTGCTGGCTGTTTCTATTAGATTTTTGAGTTGTGTCAAGAATTTTGAGGCAACATGGGAAGGGTGACCTTTTGCAGCTAATCCATATCGAAAATCATAGGGCGCCCCAAAGAGGTTTTTGCCATCCACATAACCTATTTCTTCCAAAGATTTTATTAGGGGTTCCATGTACGATGTAATGTGCCTGCAAAATTGGAACATGTATACATAGTATTAATATCCACGTTTGTTTAATAAAAAAATGAGTTGAGATTCATCGTCCCCTTTACTATCCTCCCAATATTGATTTTTGACGGATCTCCACATCATATATATCTTCATTTGAGCAAACGGAAAGAGTCATTAAGGTAAAATGATGAGTTGATTTGTAAAAATGTATTGCGAAGACAACCAAAGGGATAGCAAGTATGAACAAACCTGAACTCTAAAAAATTCATTAAGTTATGCAAACATTAAAGTGGAAACAAGTTGTGTATTCTGAAAGCAAATTCTAACTCGTAAAAAATATAGTTCTTAACCTTACTTTTAGCAAATACGATTGGAAACAATATTTACTTTAAAAAGTATAATAATAAAAAACGTCATCCAAGAAGCTATCACAAGAAAATACTTCGAACTCATATACTCAAAACATATATTCGTCACATCATGATTCACTTCCAAAGTATCGCTAACTTAGCATCACTCACTAGTATCCAACTCGTGTTATAAGAACTTGTACAAATGCAATTTCTATTGCGAAATAGATCCCTTTAAATTTTAAAAATTAGCGATTCGATTTCAACTTACTTGAGGTGAGGGTCAAGATATCGAAGGGACTGAGTCGAGCCAAAGTGAGGCACTCTTGTCTCAACACCAGGTGCATTATCATAATCATCCTTAACAAGATCATAGTAAATCATCATCCTTTCACTAAAGCATTTGGTGAAGGGTCCGAGTAGTACACTCGGGTCGAACCACAGCCTAAACCATCCTTCATTATCCTTTTTAATGGGGTACCATCTATTGCACAACAAGCTTGAAGGTTTGTACTTTGAAGTCAACCTGGCTTCCAATTGGTTGCCTCCACTTCCAGGTATCAAGATCACGGGGTGCAGATTGGTTATGGATTCACAGGAACATAACATCACAGCCACTGAAAACATGGCCATGTGTATTTGCAGAAGCAGCTCTGCCTTCATGGAATAGAGAGAGAATAATGGGTTTGAGAAAATGGGTCGCGTGGCACTAACGGTTTGGATTGGATGGGATATGGAGTTGCAGTCAGCAGTTTGTGGTGGGAAATTGTTCACGTTTTCATACTTGTGCCATAAATTGTTTTTGGAGTTAAGGCCATGTTTCGCTGTTATTAATTTAATATGATCATTTGTGCAATTGTTTGAAGAGGAAATTGTTTGGTTTTAATTTGTTGGGTCTGTATATGTAATTAATTGTGTATTAAAGACTATCTTAAGGTTAAGTCATTTAAAGTGATCTAAAGAATTAAAATTATTGGGTTGCGGACATCAAATATAGTATTGGCCTAATTATGCGTAGATTCTAGATTCATTGAAGTTGTAATTTTTCATTCTATTTGCCATCTCATCATCGCAAGAATATAGTGAGAAACCGTATTGAAAAGGATGACCAAGTACTCACAATCAAGAACAAGTAATTAAGATAAAGAACCCGCAATCAAGAACAAGCAATCAATCTTTGTTTTTCATTCCCAATGAATCAAGTTAAGTTCCGCACTTTTAATTATCTTGTTGAGATTTAACATGGAGGACCTGGCATTAAAGAAAGGGTTTTAAATATATTAAGAGTCTTGGGCTTGAATTTCTAACAAGTGGTACTAGAGCCGACTGTATATTAAACCATTGAGAATCAAGAAAGGATTTTGTGATGAAATTCGTACTTTGGATTCATTAATTTTTTGGGATGCGAATTTTAGATTTTTTGAAAATTTTATTTTCGGAGTTTAAGAATTGTAACGCTAGCCGAGCGCTCGCTAGCCGCCAGCGTACTACTCGACGCTAAAAGTAGGGAGCCAGTGCTCGCTAGTCACCTACATGCCGCTCAGTGACGATGCTAGGCCAACGCCGAGTGCTGAGAGCAGGCTCGTAGCCGTTCACTAGCGCCAGGATGGTGCTTGAATGGCGAGCACGGTTCGATAGCTGCTCGACTGGCGCCGAGCGACATATTTATCTAGACAGAAACGCTAATTTTTTTTAAAAAAACCAAAAGTTAAAGTGACAATCAAATTCAAATTTTGGTACTATTGGTTTCTTTCGGATGTCTAATATTCTAAAATAGATTAGTTGAAATAACATGTTACTAAAGTAACTTTTCTTATGTAAATTGATTTATTTGAAATATTAAGATGGTTGTATGTATGTAATTATGTGGGTATTGATCAGCTCAAAGGAATATCAATATTTAGCCATATTAGACGAACACGTGATAATAAATATGTGGCAATTATAATTTTTTTTCCCATTATGTGAACAATAAGTCGGTCGAAGGATAGATTTAATGTTTCGCATGATTTATTATCAATATTTGATTACTATACAAAGAGTATCACTTACAAGTTGATATTTATATCCAAAGACTAAATGTCAATGTTTTGTTCGGTTTCTTGTGATGGGCCCAGCAATACTTGAATTTATTGATTGTTTAATATGGATTCTCATGTGAATATGTTATTTTTTTTGTTCTCCATGTAGTTAATTCATTTGCTTCTACAATATCTATTAACATCACTCAATTTATTTGTGTAATGGAACCAACTTTAAGGACTGGAAAATGAATGTTATGATCGTTCTTGGCTGTATGGATCTGACCTACGTTAAGGATTGAACAACCCGCTACACTTACGGATAAAAATTATGTTGATGAGAAAGAGGTGTCCGATAAGTGGGATCATTTAAATCGTATGATTTTTTATGATCATGAAGCCTGAAATTCCATAATCATTCAGAGACATTGTGTCTGATAAGGTAACTACTCTCAAGGAATTTCTTGAAGAAATTGAAAAAACGTTTTGCAAAAAGCGATCATGTTGAAACCAGTACATTTCGGCGAACTTGGTTTCATTAAGGTATAAGGGTAAATGAAACATAAGGGAGTACATCATGGAGATATCTAATCTTGCTTCAAAACTAAATGCACTAAAGTTGGAGTTGTCTGATGATTTGCTCGTGCATTTGACTTTAATTTATTTTCCTGCATAATTTAGCCAATTTAAGATCAGTTATAGCTGTTAAAAGGAGAAGTGGTCTCTTAATGAGCTCATTTTTTACTGTGTGCAAAAAAAAAAAGAAGAAATGCTAAAGCAAGCAAAGGGTTGAAAGTGCTCACTTGGAAAGTACCTCTTAGGACAAGCTCAAGAAAAGGAAGAATAAGAAAGCTGCATCTAATACAGCTCAAAAGAAACAGCAAAAACCTGAAAATAATGAATCACTTGGCCGTTACTTTTGTGAAAATCTTGGACACGTGAAGAGGGATTGTACCAAATATCATGTTTGGCAGATAAGAAAGGTACACTTTTCACTTTGGTTTGTTTTGAAATTAATTTAGTTTAAGTATCTAAAGGTACACTTTTGTTTTGATTGTACCAAATATCATGTTTGGCATATAAGAAAGGTACACTTTTCATTTTGGTTTGTTTTGAAGTTAATTTAGTTAAGTATCTAAACACACTTGGTGGATATATTCCAGTGCTGCTACTCACATAAGTGTGTTCATGAAAGGTTACCCGAACATTCGAAACTCAAATGATGCTGAAAGATTCATCTATATGGGCGATAGCAAATCAGTTGAAATTGAGGCCATATGGACTTTTAAGTTATAATTAAAGACTGATTTTTATTTAGACTTGAAAGAGACATTTATGGTTCTGTTTACAAAATTTGGTTTCTATTTCTGTATTGGACAAATTTGGTTATTCTTGTTCATTTGGAAATAATTAGTTTAGTTTTTTTTTTTTTTTCCTGAATTCAGATATTGTGGGTACAGGTTCTTTATCTGTGTATGATACCTATATTTGTTTAATTCATTTGCCTCATAAATGAAACATTGCATGTGAATTCATGTGGTATTAAACGTAAATTAATCAATGAGAATTTCGCTTCGTTATGACATAAGCAATTAGATTACATCTCCCAAAAGAAAATTGAAAAACTTGTGTTAGATTGAATTCTAGATCCCCTTGATTTTTCAAATTTAAATGTTTGTGTTACTTGCATTAAGGGGGAACGGATAAACATAAGAAGAATGGGCGACAATAAAACTTTAGACGTCTTAGAATTAGTACACATGAATATATGCGGATCATTTCCTTCGATTTCTTGGAATTGTCAATAATCATTTATTACGTTCATAAATGATTTTTCATGTTATGACTACCCGTGTCTCATTTATGAGAAGTCTCAGTTATTAGACGTGTTTATGCCTACAAGGTTGAGATTAAAAATCAACTTAGGAAAAAAAAATTAAAAAGTCAGATTTGACCGTGGTGATGAATGTTATGGCAAACATAACGGATCGGGTTAAACAACGTCTAGGGTGTTTTGCTAAACTTCTAGAGGAATGCAGAATCATCCAACAGTATACCATATCAGAATTCACTAGCATGAATAATGTTGTTGAGACATGAAATAGAACATTAAGGATATTGTAAGATTATGATTAGTCATTTCACCTTACAAGAATTTCTTTTGGGAGAAGCATTAATGACTGTAGCTTACATTTTCAATAGTGACCTGAGTAAAGCAACTGTCAAAACCCTTTATGAGTTTTAGATAGGCAAGAAGCCTAGTTTGAAGCACTTGTACATCTGGGATTGTTCAGATGAGGCAAGGCCTTATAGGCCAAATGAAAAGAAATTGGACTCCAGAATCGTTTATTGTTATTTTATTGGATATTCAGAGAGGTCAAGGGTTTACAAATTTTATGATCCCATTAATAGGTTAATTTTCGAAACGAGAAATGCTCAATTCTTTGAAGATGTGGAGCTTGAGGGGAGATAAGGTCATGAATTTTTCTTCGAGGAGGAATATGTAACTATTCCTGTTGATGTCATTGAAAATGATCAGGACCAAGGATAAATTTATGTTCCCAATCTTGCTCAAGAAGCAATTCTAGATCAAGATAATATTCTAAACCCCCTGTTCAATTGCAAGAGATTGTTTCAGAAGAACGAACTCAACAACCTCAATAACAAATGCCACTAAGAAAATCCAGTAGAGATACGAGACACATAATTTCGGATGACTTTACAATATTTCTCCAAGAACATGAGGATGACATTGGATTGATGGAAGAAGATCCAATCAACTTTCATCAAGCCATGTAAGTAACTAATTCTCAAAAGTAGATTGACACCATGAATGAAAAGATAAAGTCCGTGAGACAAAGACGTTTGGGAACTCATCCAATTAATGATGGTGCGAAACCCGTTGATTGTAAATGGATATTTAAAACTAAGAGAGATTCGAAATGCAATGTGGAGAGATATAAGTCTCATCTTCTTGCAAAAGGCTTTACTCAAAAGGAATGTATTGACTTTAAAAAGACTTTTTCTCTGATTTCAACGAAAGACCCTTTCAGGATTATTATAGCACTTGAAACCATTTTGATCTTGAACTATATCAAATGGATGTAAGGACGACGTTTCTCAATGATGACATTGATGAGACAATTTATATGATACAATCGAAAAATTTTGTGTCTGGAAACCCAATGAAGATAGTTCGCAAATTAAATAAATCAATCTATGGGCTTAAGCAGGCTTTTCGTCAATGGTATCACAAAGTTCATCAAGTGTCTTGTTTGGTTTTGAGATGAACGCATTTGATGATTGTGTAT